TTTTGATTGGTTCAAGAACACACAGCGAAACAGCTCTTTTTGTCTCTCTCGACTGATCTAGAAAATCCCTAATTCGAGTTGAGATTGAAGGGTAGAGGACATAATCTCTCGATTGGGTTCTCTAATCCTCCTTGAGATTCGACAAAGTCCGTGGCTTTTCTTCTGGGTTGATTTCAAGTGACAGAAACATGCCTCTTGTTCATCGGAAAAAGCCGACGGAGAAACCGTCGACGACGACGGAATCCGAGGAGGTGCCCGACGAAGATTCCCAACACAAACATCACGATTCGAAAACCCATAAGAAATCGAACGGTGGAATCGAGAAAGTGAAGTGGTCGTGTGTGGATTCGTGTTGTTGGTTTATTGGGTGTGTGTGCGTCACATGGTGGTTCCTCCTCTTTCTTTACAACGCAATGCCTGCGAGCTTTCCTCAGTATGTAACGGAAGCGATCACGGGTCCTTTGCCTGACCCACCGGGTGTGAAGCTGAAGAAAGAAGGTCTCAAGGCGAAGCATCCGGTTGTGTTCATTCCTGGGATTGTCACTGGTGGGCTTGAGCTTTGGGAAGGTAAACAATGTGCTGATGGTTTGTTTAGGAAACGCTTGTGGGGAGGAACTTTTGGTGAAGTCTACAAAAGGTTAGCCTTCATTTCTCACTGTTTTTATGTTGGGATTTGGGTTGGATCTGATGAGATCACGCACTTGTTGCTTTTGTTGAACATCACTTGAGCTTAATCCCATGTTTTAGTCTGATTTCCAGATGTCAAACGCTATTTTCTTTGAGTTGGTTGTGTGTATCGTATAGGTCTATTTTGTTCTGTTAGGAATAGAGAAGTTCTAAATACATTTGTGAAAAATGTGTTTGGATAGTGATATTTGGATGATTGCTTTATTCTTTCCAACTATTTGCTTGTGCAATTATGGCTAGTATCTTTTGTCCTTCAGCTCAACTTGCTTCTTTCAAGTTCTTTCTAAGAATTGGAAATGTGATTTTCAAACTTTTCCACAATGGGTCTGTAGTTTTATGTCTTGATTTTCCTTCATCTTCTACAGTTTCCTTGATTTCCAAAGAAACTGTTTTTTGTTTTTTGGGTTTGCATCTATTTTAATTTGTTATGATCTGCTCTTTTGTCTTTTGGCTCGATGTTTGTTGTTGGTATGCTGAAGATGGGAGTAGGACAGTGTTACTGTTGATAGTATCTTAACTAATTGACAATTTATTTGATCCAGGCCTCTATGTTGGGTGGAACACATGTCACTTGACAATGAAACTGGGTTGGATCCTGCTGGTATTAGAGTTAGAGCTGTATCAGGACTCGTGGCTGCCGATTATTTTGCTCCTGGTTACTTTGTCTGGGCAGTGCTCATTGCTAACCTTGCACATATTGGATATGAAGAGAAAAACATGTACATGGCTGCATATGACTGGAGGCTTTCCTTTCAGAACACAGAGGTTCTTTTCTCATAAATCTATCTGTTATTTTGTTCCATTTTACGTTTCTTTCTTTATTGCTTACGGCTTAAATATGTTTCATTTTGAATTATCAGGTGCGTGACCAGACACTTAGCCGTATGAAAAGTAATATAGAGTTGATGGTTTCTACCAATGGTGGAAAAAAGGCGGTTATAGTTCCGCATTCCATGGGGGTCTTGTATTTTCTACATTTTATGAAATGGGTAGAGGCACCAGCTCCTTTGGGTGGTGGGGGTGGGCCTGATTGGTGCGCGAAGCATATAAAGGCAGTGATGAACATTGGTGGACCATTTCTTGGTGTTCCTAAAGCTGTTGCAGGGCTTTTCTCTGCTGAAGCAAAGGATGTCGCAGTTGCCAGGTATGGAATAGTTGATTGTGCTTTTGATGATCAGAACCTTGGCCCTGGAACTCAAACATATGCTACTAAATATCAATTCTAATACCACTGCTATATTATAGCTGCTACAATATTGAGATTGGTTGATTATTTTTGCTGCGTATGAAATTGGAAGTCGCTTGAAATCTAGACAATTGATGAATTTGATGATGACTGTTACGGAAGTCGGGTGGAAGAGTGAACATCTAGGAGACTAGGACACTTTGAGGTTTATGTTATTTGATTTTACTGTTATCAATCAGCAAGTTGGGCTCATCTTCTTTTTTAGCTACAAGTGTCTAACTCAATACTGACAACTTTCTTTGCCACTGACAAAGAAATGCCTGACGATTTTTTTAGGCAATCTAAGTATAGACCTACTGAAAGAAACATTCGAAGCCAGCGTCTTCTTAATTTCTTACATATTGCTCCTTCGTCCTGTTTAGTCTCTTAGCTTTGACGAAAATACTCCTCATATTGTCTTATTTTGTGGACATCGTGTTTTGCTAATAGAAAGATCTGCAGCTTCCATTCTTACGTTCTTTACCAATTTCTGATGTTTCTGCCTCTTTCAGTTTCCCTGTATATGCATCTATGGTTTTTTTTTATTGCTGGTTAGTTACAGAATTGTTGGTTTTAGTCGCTTGGATCCTTAAAAGAACTTTACTGTCTTCTTAATTTTGCAGAGCGATTGCCCCGGGATTCTTAGACAGTGATATATTTAGACTTCAGACCTTGCAGCATGTAATGAGAATGACTCGCACATGGGACTCAACAATGTCTATGCTACCTAAGGGAGGTGACACAATATGGGGTGGTCTTGATTGGTCGCCAGAGAAAGGCCACACCTGTTGTGGGAAAAAGCAAAAGAGCAACGAGACTCGTGGTGAAGCTGGTGAAAATTCAGTTTCCAAGACAAAGCCTGTTAACTACGGAAGGATTATTTCGTTTGGGAAAGAAGTGGCAGAGGCTCCGGCATCAGAGATTAAAAATATTGATTTTCGAGTAAGGACATAAACGATATAAACCTTGCACTTTTTGTGACTAGATGATTAATAATCTATACATTTTACTTGGTGAAGGGTGCGGTCAAAGGTCAGAGTATCCCAAATCACACCTGTCGTGACGTGTGGACAGAGTACCATGATATGGGAATTGGAGGGATCAAAGCTATTGCTGAGTATAAGGTCTACACTGCTGATGCAGTTATAGATTTATTACATTATGTTGCTCCTAAAATGATGGCGCGTGGTTCCGCTCATTTCTCCTATGGCATTGCTGATGATTTGGATGACCCCAAGTATGAACATCCCAAATACTGGTCAAATCCGTTGGAGACAAAGTAAGTGATTTGTTTTGGTACCAACTCTACGCTTCGTCCTGATGCATTATTAGTCTTTTATTTTCCGTCCTGCCGATTTTTTTTTTTCCAGCTCAAATCTACTTGAGTCTTTCTTGAAAAGGCTTGCTCAGTTATATTTAGGTACCAAAGTTGATACAAGTGATGGTTGCTTATAAGAGCAGGTCAAGGGTGGCTTTGACATGACGAATAAATTTCGAATTAGTTGTGATTTATTCGCCATGTCAAAGCCACCTTTTAGTTTTAAGGATTTTGTTGACTCTCTCTTCGTTTTCTGGGATCTACTGGCAGTACCCTGGAACTCTTCGAGGCACACTATGTTTATGTGTTGCTCAGTTACCCATCCCCGTGAGGCCTGGAATACAATTGTTCTCTATCATTCGTCATCTATTTTGTTTTTTTAACATGACTACTCTGTTTGGTTTGTTCTGCTGTTTCAGATTACCCAATGCTCCTGAAATGGAAATCTACTCGTTGTACGGAGTTGGGATACCAACTGAAAGAGCATACGTCTACAAGCTTAACCAGTCTCCTGACAGCTGCATCCCCTTTCACATATTGACTTCTGCTCATGAGGAGGACGAAGACAGCTGTCTGAAAGCAGGAGTTTACAATGTGGATGGGGATGAAACAGTACCGGTCTTAAGTGCCGGGTTCATGTGTGCTAAAGCGTGGCGTGGCAAGACAAGATTTAACCCTTCCGGAATCAAGACTTACGTTAGAGAATACAATCACTCTCCACCGGCTAACCTGCTCGAAGGGCGCGGGACCCAGAGCGGAGCCCATGTTGATATCATGGGAAACTTTGCATTGATTGAGGATATCATGAGGGTTGCCACTGGAGGTAATGGGTCTGATATAGGACATGACCAGGTCCACTCTGGTATATTTGAATGGTCCGACCGTATCGACCTGAAGCTGTGAATGCTTTGATCTCCTTTTCAACTTTTGTGATTCCATTACTTGCAAGAGAG